ACTTCCATTAATTCAAATCAAGAGGTGTAAATAGGAATTATTAGGTGTGAGGTACTCGAGAGGAAAATGCAGTTATGCTTCTAAATGTCAAGACCAAGAATGCGGTTGCGCTTCTAGGTTGAGACCAAGTAAAAGTTAAACAAATAAAAAATGTGAGCAAATCATGGCCTACAAAAATATATCCAAAAGATAGTTAAAATAAGTATAAGTTAATAAAAGCGACCGTGCTAGAACCACGGGACTCAAGGGATGCCTAATACCTTTCCCTCGATCAACAAAATTCCTTACCTGAATTTCTAGTTCGCAGACCATATAAAGAGTCATTTCCTTTTGATTAGGGATTAAACAAAAAGGTGACTTGGAACACCATAACTCAATTCCAAGTGGCTACTATGAAAAATAAAATAATTCTTAATCAATAACGTCACTTAAATTGGAAAAAACCTACATCCACTGTGCACGAAAAAGGGGTGTGACACCCAAACAATATATGATACAATAATAGTATCATATAATAAAGTATATAAAGACATTAACAAATACCTGATATACAAATAACATATGATATTTGAATAATATAATAAAGTAACAAAAACAACAAACACTAAAATGTTCAAATCCACAAAAGATCAACTAATCGAAAGAGGATAAGCATACCGTGTGCAAAAATAATCAATGATATCATAACAATATCTTCATATAATGTTATGGCATGATACAAAAACTAATGCTTGGTATAAACATAATATATGATACCATTACGCATGCATGATACCAACATAACATCTGGTACTGTAATAGTATGATCAAATAGTACCAACACATGATACCTAAACAATATATGATACACTAATAATATCAACATCTAACAAGTCAATTTTTCAAAATAATAGCATGATATAAGAATGATACCTTCAAACGAGAATACTGATCAATTTCTTCTTCAAGGGTTCCATCGATATTTTCAGTTTCAGTTTGGGAAAACGACTCAGAAGGATTGCAAGGAGTACCTTGTTTTTATGCAATTGTTCATCACAAACCATGTGTGTCTTCCCTTTCCTCTTCAAATAATCCCCGATTTCATCACCCGTAACATCAGAATTTTGATCAGGCCTGTCAACACCCACAATTGAATTGTGGTTAGTTCAAGCATTAACATCTCCATGATCGAATCTGTCATTTAAGCCGACATTATCTTCTCTGTTTTCATCCTCCAAATCAAGAGAAAAACTTGACCCAAACATGCTAGAAACTTTCGACTCTTGGTCACCTATATTATCATTATCACTAGCATTGTCAACAAAATTTGCATAATTAGAACGATGACCCCACCAACAACTAGTTGCTACATTTTTACGATCCACTGAAAACAATTTGAAAAATCAAGCAAAAAACGACAGAGAAACAAAAATTGATTCAAAATTAAGTTTATTGAAAAACAAAATTGAATATAAGTGGAATAAAGGAAAAACTACCACACACAAAGCTGAGTAAATTGGACTGATAATGACGGAATAGAATCACCAAGATGAAGAAAGAAACTGCAAATGACGGTAGAACTGCTTGTAGTTAAAATCGTCGTATGTTGCTCCACATAGTTTAACGTGGGTATGACGGTTGGACAATAAATCGGATGGGCTTGAATAAGAAAGTGGGTCGAACGGTTGGGTTATAAACTAGGTGGGTTTGAATAAGAAAGTGACCCGAAATAAGGGGGGGGGGGAGGTATGGGTTGTAATTATTTATGAGAGAGTGGGTATATCAAGAATTACCTTGGGTTTGAGTATGAACATGTAATTAGTTTAGGTTTTATGGCTCATTTATGTAGTTTTCCCAAAAAAAGGAAAACAAGTACTTCCTCATTCGTCCAATAATAGTTGTCCACTATACTATTTTTAAATATCCAACAATACTTGTCCACTTTATAAAGTCAATGAATAGTTTTTACACTTAGTCCTTAATTTACCCTTATAATTAATTAGAGTCATTTCCCTATTACATTTTTTAAGACATTATATTTATTATATTCAAAGTGTGATATAGTAAAATTACCCTTCTATTTATAGTTTCTTAAACGGTGGACAAATATTGTTGGAGAGAGGGAGATTTCCTTTGTTTCATTTTATTTGATTCTTATATTGAAAATAAATATTTTTATTTTATTTATTCACTAGTAAAAATTACCCGCGCTTCGCGCGGGAATTTAATATTACAGAATTTTAAAATAATACTTAAAATCTATCGATCAGTAAAACTAAAACATTATATTATCTCACATACAAGATTATGTAGTAACAAACATTAATAATGTAAAGAAAAATGAAAATTATTACATCTTATCATTTATCTTTAATAACATTAACATAAATTAATGACTGTAAAAATACATACCAGGATCTGTAACATAAGCAATGGTGTTAGTGAGCCACTCAATAGGAGCTAAGTACACAAATATTTAATTGTGAAGAAGAAGAAGAGGTTCAAAATTTTTTTTGTTCTAAAATGAGAGGAAATCCTTCTATTTATAGAAAATAAAGGGTTGTGGGAACAAATATTTATTGTGCCTTATCGGAAATGTTACAACTATTTGGAAAAGTTGCAACCCTTCGAAAATGTCACAACCTTTCATAAAAGTCACAACTTTTCATAAAAGTCGCAACTCTTCATTAAAGTTGCAACTTTTCATTAAAGTCACAATTTTTCATAAAGTAACAACTCGTTATAAAAGTCGCAACTCTTCATTAAAGTCACAATTTTTCATTAAAGTTGCAACATTTCATAAATGTCACAACTTTTCATTAAAAAGGAAGACTAGTTTTGGAAATAAATAAATCATATCATATATCATATATATATATATATATATATATAAAGATAACCCTAGGCCCGCCTACGTGGCGCCATCACAAATAAGGATTCCTTTTTAATTTATTTATTTCCAAAATTAGCCTTCCCTTTCATGAAAAATTGTGGTTGTTATTAAAAGTTGTGACTTTTATGAAAAGTTGTGACTTTTATAAAGAGTTGCGACTTTTATGAAGAGTTGCGACTTTTATGAAATGTTGACTTTTATTAAAAGTTGTGACTTTTATGAAGAGTTGCGCTTTTATGAAATGTTGACTTTTATTAAAAGTTGTGACTTTTATGAAAAGTTGCGACTTTTATGAAATGTTGACTTTTATTAAAAGTTGTGACTTTTATGAAAAGTTGAGACTTTTATGAAAAGTTATGACTTTTATGAAGAGTTGCGACTTTTATGAAGAGTTGCGACTTTTATGAAATGTTATAATATTTATGAAAGGTTGTGACCTTTCCGAAGAGTTGTGACTTCTCCAAAGAATTGTGACCTTTCCGATAAGGTACAATAAAAATTTGCTCACACTACCCTTTGTTATATATAAATAGAGGGGTTCCCTCTCATTTTAAAACAACGAAAATTCTAAACTTCTTCTTATTCTTCTGCACAATTAAATATTTGATTCTGAACTTCTTCTTTTTCTTCTTCTTCTGCACAATTAAATATTATGTACTTTGTTCATGTTGAGTGACTCACTGACACTATTGTTTTTGTATCATTACATTGGTGAATAAAATCGTTTCATCATGAGAGGATCTATTTCTTTAAACCTCAGGTACTAGAGGGGAATGATTTCCTTAAGAAAACATTGTGCATTCAATGAGCTCGATTTTTCCTTTCTGTTTCATTCTATTGTTACAGATCCTGATATGTTTTTTTTACAGTCATTATTTTATGCTTATGATATTAATTGTTGTTTTTTAATATATGTTTTAAACTTTGTTGTTTATGTTTCTGTAAAATTATTGTTATAAGTATTTGTTAGTACATACTCTATGTAAATCCAACTACTGCAGATTCACAAATATCTTTTTACAGAATACATTTCTTTAAACATTCTCCAAAGATATCCATGCTTCTCCAAAAGATCAAGCCTAGAAATTTATATGATTTTTTGTTGTTGCCATAATAATGTTAATATTAACAAGAGTAAAAATAAATAAATAGAAACTCAAATGATAGAACTAAAACTAGCAATTAATTACAATTGTATGATACGCAATAATGACTATTCTCTTGCACCAAAGTACTCTTTTGAACTTTTTTTCCATTATCTCTTACTTCTCTTTCACCCTTTTCAAGGATCCTTAATATTTTGTTCGTGAACACCTTCAATTCCCAAACACCATCATAACTATATTATTACATATGAAATTTGGATTTTGGAAGATTGCATTTTAATTTTAAAACACATAATGACTACATATTACTTATTAATATATCATATAATTATGGAACCTTTGCTCTTGATAAACACATTAGTTATATAAATATTTAATTTTGAAAGTAATTGATAGTGTTATACTAACGAAATTTGCAAAGAAGAAAATTGAGAAAAATATTTATTTGACTCTCTAATTAAAGACACTATGTATCCATGCATATAGATGGTAAAACTAAACTAACCATTGTAAAATTTCAAAAGCAAATTAATGAATCTGTAAAATGAAATTATGTAAACTAGGAGAAAATAATGTTATGATTTGTAATTTTCCCTTTTCTTTTAATAAAACAAATGGTAAACTACAATTGAATAACCTCTATACTCTTGAAAATATATTTATATAAAAATGCTATAACATCAAAATACAAGAAAAGTTCTATTCTAATAAATTTTAAAGAAAAATAATCTAACTGCGCAAAGCGCGGGCCCATTTACTAGTTAAAAGAGAATTTTAATTTGTGGTGGCGCCACGTAGGCGGGCCTAAAGTTCTCTTTTATATAAATATATGATTTAGGCAAATCAAAATTCCCCCTTACAATATCCATAGTATTAGATAACTAAATAAACTAGTAATAGTAATCAAATTGAAAATTTGAAAATAAAGTTAATTTGACAAAATATACCTTTCTTGAAAAATCTGTGTGAATAGAGGCAAAAGAATAGTCCATGTAGATTCGGGCCTGCTCAAGGGTCAGTGAATGGGTTTTTCAGGCATAGCCACTCTCACTCGTCACTATGCTTTCTGCTACTCTGTATCAGTATCATCATTCTCATCTTCACTCATTCACATTACTCCTTCAACAAAGCTACTCACCAGAAAACTCTCTCTTCCCATCAGAATGTCTTCTACAAATCCCAATGTCAAGAAACACATTTCACCCTATGGTTCTTGGAAGTCTCCCATCACCGCTGATATCGTTTCTGGATCCACTAAACGCCTCGGTGGCTTTTCGGTTGATTCACTTGGTCATCTTTTCTGGCTAGAATCTCGACCTACAGAGTCCGGGTACAGTACATATGAAGCCTCAAAACCCCTAATCATTGTCATATCCTTTAGTGGGTTTTATCTAAAAGTTTAAATTATTAATTCTTGTGCATTCATATGAAATCATGTTTACTAACTTCATATTTAAACCCCAAACCCCATAAATATTGTGATGTTTCTTTGTTTGTTTTTTGTAATTTGCGTTTTGATATCTTGTGTATTCATAATTTTCCTATGAAAGCTGTGTTTACTGTCTTAGTGTTTAAACCCCAAAGCTCATAATGATTGTGATATTTTTTGAGGATTATGTTTAGTTTGATTTTCTGATTCATATGCATTCCTAATTTGCCTATTGAACACCACACTAGCTCCACCAAGAGGTGTGGTGAGATAGAGCCATAGAGGAGATTCCTCCACCCTTAATCAGAGGTCTGGGTCTGGGGTTCGAGCAATTCGAGCCTTGAGAATGGGGTAATCATGGGTGAGGAGTGGCACATGCTTCCCCTTTAATGGACCAATCATGAATACAGATTAATCAGACCAGTGGGTTATGTAAATTGATGGTTAAACCAAAAAAAATATAGTTTTTGCACCTAAGGGTGTCACCCAGACCTAGTGGTCAATGAAGTGGTTGAGAATCCTGAGGTCTCAGGTTTAGAACTCTACGGAGACAAAAAAACACTAGGTTATTCTTACCATCTATCCTAGCCTTGGTGGACAACGTTACCTGGTACCTATTGTTGGTGGGAGGTGACAGGTATCCCATGGAATTAGTTGAGTTGCACGAAAGCTGGCCCGGACACCACGGTCATAAAAAAAAAGTTAGTTTGCCTATGAAACTCATGTTTATGGATTTGTGTTCAAACCAAAAAGATTGTAAAATTTTCTCATGGATTTTACTGTCGTGTTTGAATATTTATTGTTATGCATTCTTGATTTGCATTTGAAACTCATGTTTCCTGTCTTTGCTCTTAAATCCAAAAACACATAGACATTTTGATATTTTCTTGAGGAGGTTTTATGTTGAGTTTGAAAGCTTATTCATATGCCTTCATAAGTTGCATTTGAAACACATGTTTACTGTCGTCATGTGTAAACCCCAAAACCCATAAAGATTGTGATATTCTCCTTCTGGATTTCATGTAAAGTTTGAATTTTTGATTGTTCCACTATCATAGTTTGCATGTAAACTCACGTTTACTGTCTTCGTGTTTATGCCCCAAAACCCATAAAGTTTGTGATATATTTTTGTGGATTCTGTGTGAAGTTTGAGTTTTTTTTATTGTTATGGATTCAGACGAGCGGTTATTGTGAAGGAACCAGGGAAACCAGGGGAAGACCCTATAGATGTAACTCCTAAAGATTTTGCTGTGAGGACGTTGGCTCAGGAGTATGGTGGTGGTGATTTTTGTATACAAGGAGACATTTTGATCTTCTCTAATTACAAGGATCAGAGACTTTATAAACAGTCCATTTTGTCCATAGGTCTTCATTTTCCTTTGTTTTCTATGTCATTGAATGCAGTTGAATATAATTGCTTCCAGTTTTACTATTTTGTAGTATATTTAATATAAGCTTCGATGGAGACAATTTTGTTTATGTACATATTTGGGTTTATTAGCAGCCGCTCGTTTACAAATGTGCCATATTTGATCTGTCCGTTTTTATGGTTATTGTTGAATTGAAATAACCAGAAAAGAAAAAAGAAACTGTCTCGCAGGTAGCAAGTTGGTTCATATTAATTTTGGAAGTTTGAAGCTCTTTCATTTTAGCATATAGTTCATCATATACTATTTGCATACCAATAGCATTAGTACCAGTCTCGTAGTTTCTTGTCCTTATATTGCAGCCTATTGTTTCTTTGCTTTGGTTATGGCATTATTTTGTTGTTGCTGTTCCTTTATCTGAATGCCATGTGATGATTTCTCTATTATTTTCTATGTCTGCTTTACTTCTATAAATTTTTCAAAAAACTTTAAACTGCTTTGATATGTGTTACTTGAGCCGAGAGTTTTTTTCGTAAGCAGCCTCCCTACCTTGTAAGGTTGGGGTAAGGTCGCGTACATTCTACCCTCCCCAGACCCCACCCATGGGATTACACCCGGTATGTTGTTGTTGTTGTTTCATCATATTTATTATCAATATTTTTGAGATGTTTCTTTCCAATTGATCCTTGTTATTTTGGTACTAGATTCTGCTCCGTTGCCCCTCACTCCAGATTATGGCGGACGAAGTGTATGCTATGCTGATGGAGTGTTTGACTCTCGCTTTAACCGTTATGTGACAGTGAGAGAAGGTAAGTTCTCTATATTCATTATCCTTCAAAATTTTAGCTTGATTCTCTGAGAAATTTTATCCTATTCCTTGCTCCTTCTGTAGATCAACGTGAAAGTGGTATAAATGCGATTACCACAATTGTGTCTATCGATCTGAGCAGTAACAGCGATCAAGGTGAGAATCTGTCAGTATTGGTTTACCATGATTCAATGTGAATTTTCTTTGCTTTTACATCTGTTTCTCGGTGATGGGCTAGAAAACTGTCAAAAAATGTTTGTACATTATGAAGGGCTATTCAATTGTTTTCGTATTGCCCCTCCCCTTCCTAAGCAATATTTGGTGGACTGTACAATGAGTGAATTTCTGATCTTAATTTTTTTTTTGCTTGTTTGGCACATAAATGCAGAACCAAGGCTGTTAGTTGGGGGCAATGACTTTTATGCTTCTCCTCGGATTGACCCCAAAGGGGACCGTATGGCATGGATTGAATGGGGTCACCCAAATATGCCATGGGACAGATCAGAGCTTTGGGTTGGTTATATATCAGAAAATGGGTACGGCCATAATAAATCTCTCTCTGTCTCTGTCTCTGTCTCTGTCTCTCTCTCTCTCTCGCTCTCCCTCTCTCTCTCTCTCCCTCTCCCTCTCCCTCCCTCACTCCCCCCACCCCCCTCGCCCTCGCCCTCGCCCTTGCCCTCGCCCTCCCCCTCCCCCTCCCCCTCCCCCTCTCCCTCCCCCTCCCCCTTCGCTCTCCCTCCCTCTCCCTCCCTCCCTCCCTCTCTCCCTCTCCCTCCCTCCCTCCCTCTCTCCCACATGTGCGCACAGTCACAAACACACATACATGTGCAACTATAAGACACACTTACGCTCCTTCCAACAAGAGGAGGCACATCCACCGAGAGATCACATTTTGTTTAGGCCTGCATAAGTTATCACCACTTTCCAAATAAATAATTAAATTATGAGTCCTGGTATATGAGGAACATAACCATCTACTTGTTGATTTGCTCTTTGCCGTTCTTTGTCTTTCCCCTAGGGATGTGCAAAACCGCATTTGTGTTGCTGGTGGTGATCCTAGTCTTGTGGAATCTCCTACTGAACCCCTATGGTCTTCTCAAGGTACTCTTGACTAAATGCCAGCATGTGCATCGTATAAACTTTAATTGTTCTTCTCTGTTTCTAAGATTAGTCTCGGTAGAGAAATATTAAAAATTAGTCCTGTGCTTTAGTGAATATTATTGGCTTTTGGTAGCATAAATTGGAATTCAAGATCTTTATATCTGAAAATGGGGTTCGGAAGGTCAGGCCTTTTGTTGTGGAAGATATTACGTGTCAACTCTTGGAACTGAAGCATAACTTCTCATTGCAAAACAAAGAGACAACCATTTGGGAGGTGCCTGTTATGTACACTCTGCAATTTGGACTAACTAAGTTCTTCTTCAGCAAACACTGGACTGGCTGTTGATTTCTTGTACAATCTGGAAATGTTATTTTGCCTGTAACTATCTCTTCGATATGCCTCACTTCTCTATGAAATGTCGTAGAAGATATGGAGTGTACTCTTGATCCACTTACATTCAGAGCTAGTATTCTATGGTATTTCTAATCTGCCTGCAAAAAGCATTTCAGCAGTTTGATAATTGAGCCACTATTCTTTTTGCTGTAGATGAGCACTTAGAATAAGCTTGTATTTTAGCTTGAGAGAGCAAAGTAAGCCAATGACTGCACTGAGTTGGAACAATTTCTTTTGTTTACGCTGTGAAGTACAGTTATAACAGGGCAACTGAAAACAGAGAAAGGAAGACATTGTCAACCAATTGACAAACTTGGAGGTTATCCAAGAACAAAGTCTCACAAATGATTAGATAATGCAGAAAGTCAAATTCAGCTATGGAGTTTGAAGATGTAGCAAGAAACGAGGAGATAGTATGGAAACAAAAATCAAGGATACAATTGTTGAAACAAGGAGACAAAAATAAAAAATATTTCCGTAGGATATCTACTGCTCATAAAAGGGCATATTCCATAGATAACCTGAAGGTGTGGGAGGGTGTTGAGGTGACAAATCTTGAGGGGATCAAAGAAGCTATTCAAAATTTGTACAAGAACATTAACATGGAGACAGAAGAGTGAAGTCCAGAATTAGTGCTACATGAAGTTACAGAGATCTCTGTCAAAGGACAAGAGGGTTTACACGGACAATTTGATGAGGCAGAAATCCTAGGAAGCAATAAATTGTCTGCAATGGAGAAGGCACCTGGGCTTGATGGATTTCATATGTCCTTTTTTCTAGCTCATGAAAGAGGACATTTTGAAGACACTCTGATACATTCATGAAAATCAGAAGTTTGAGAAAAGCTTCAATGCAACCATCATACCTTTGATTCCAGAAAAAGTTAGGAGCTTCAGAGTTGAAAATCTGTAGACCTACAAGTTTCATAGGTGGAATGTACAAGATTGTGGCAAAGTTACTAGCTGAAAGACTTAACAAGGTAGTTAACAATTTGGTTAACAAGCATAAGATGACATTTATAAGAGGGAGGCAGATCATGGATGCAACTCTAATTGCCGATGATTTATTGACTCTAGACTTAAAGGTGCAAAAGCAGGTGTCATGTGCAAGCTAGACATAGAAAAAACTTATGATCATGTCAACTTGAAATTCTTGCTGAATATTCTTAGACAAATGGGCTGAGAAATGGTTGAAATGGATAGAATTTTGCATTTAAACTGATAGGTTCTCTTTTCTGGTGAATGGAGAAACTAGAAGCTGTGGGTGTTTTGCTTCTGAAAGGGGCCTTAGGCAAGGTGACCCCTTGTCTCCTTTCCTGTTTATACTAGCAATGGAAGGATTTGATAGCATGATGAGGATAACATTGCAGAATAGGTGGGTTAAAGGTTTTGAGATAGAAGACAGTAGGGCGACAATGGAGGTATGCCATTTACAGTATGCTGATGATATAGTGATATTTTGTGGTCATGCATAAACTGACTCATCAGGTTGACTGAATAGTTTATGTTGGTCTAGACTCTAGTGTGTGAGCAATGATTCTTCCAATCAATCTCTAATATCTCTCCTTATCAACTTGTTCTCCGACTCCTGTTTGAAACTTGTGATTACTTTCGATGGGCAAATTTGCTGGTTAGCAACCTATCATACCAGTCTCTTGGCAATCTAGAATTTACTTCCTTTTGAGAGATAGAACCCTCTTTTTGACATAGAAACTTCAATTCCCAATAAATGTAATTTTCCTGGATCATTGATTTCCAATTCTTGTGCCAACAACTTTTCAACCGAATTACCTCCTCTTTCTCATCTCCTATTATGTCATTAACATAAACTATGAGAAGAGTGAGTTTACTCTTTTGTTGTCACGAAGAGGGTATGGTCAACATTGATTTGTTGGTAGCCATAAAAGATCGTTGCTTTGCAAGATCTATCAAACCAGCTCTAGGGAATTGCATAAGACCGTATAAAGTTTTCTGCAATCTGTACACCTTACCTTTACTTAGTTCAGTATCAAATCCAATAGGGATCTTTATAATTTTTTTGAGATAAAGGTAATTGTGTATTCACAATAGGTTCATCATCAAACAGAGCATAGGTCACTTACAATCTCATCAGAGCATGTCAAAACTATCCTATGGGAGATCACAAATTTCCTATGAAATCAACAAAAAGTTCTATATTCCCCACCATATTTTGCTTACACCAAAAATACAAAAGGCTAAGGCAATTCATTCTAATCTCCTGGGTGTTGTTTCTCTTATCCTCAAAGCATCTTGCATTTCTTTCTTTCCACAGAGTCCACCAGATGCAAGCTGGGATTAACTCCCACCAATCTTCACCAGAACCTCTTCTTCCTATCTCCTCCCAGCTGTATAATACGTCCTTAGTAGTCCTTGGCATTACCCAATACACACCAAGTACACAGTGAAACTTTCTATAGGGATCTATATATACACCTCTTTTTTTAAGTTTCCATGAAGAAATGCATTTTTCTCTAAATTGTTGCAAGTCCCAATCAAGCTTAGCTACACAACACAAAAGAATTCTAATGGTGTTCACTTTAGCAACATGGACAAATGTCTCTTGATAATCCACTCCATAAGTCTGAGTCAATCCCTTTGCCGTCAATCTTGCTTTGAATCTTTCAATCAAACTATCAACTTTGTCTTTACGGTATAAACCTATTCATATCCAACCAACTCATTGTCACGTGGTAAGGTGACATGTTCCCAAGTCTCATTTTTTGACAAGGCCTTAAGTTTTTCAATTATAGCCTGCTTCCATTTAGGATTTCCAAAGCTTCCCTACAAATCTAGAAAATAGACATAAAAGAAATAGACAATGCCAAGGGATCTATAGGAGGGAGACAGAGAATTATAGGAGAAGATTAGATAAAGGATATTTGGTGCAAGATATGACTCTTTTTCTATGAGAAATTGGCAAATCTAATTCATTAAGGAATGCAGATAACTCGCAAGTAGAAGAGGATTTAACTTCGGCAAATTGCATGATTTCTTTTTCTGCACTGTTTCTCCTTGTGCATGTTATCAAATTAGGTCTACTCAAATGCCCAATAGTCTCCCCTTGAATTCTTTCTCCAATTTCACTTTCCCTCGGTATTGGTTTCAATAATGGAAATAAGGAGAACTCTATTGCTCTCCCCCTAAAGAGGTGACAATGTAATACTAAAATAGGGCTCATACTCTCTAAAGGTATCATGCGGACAAAGGATCTCCTGGAGGGAGGGTGATAGCATGTGTATCTTTTATATATATGTAGGAGAATACCTAGTAAAGACAAACTTAAGGACTCTATTATCAAGTTTCCTAGATCATGGTGTGAACATAGTACACACGGCCAAACACCTCCATAGGAACAATATATTTATTCTCACCCTTTCAAGTTTCTAGAGAAATTTGAAAATTGAGGGTTTTAAGTGGCATTCTATTGATAAGATAACAACTAGAATGACACCCCCAATAGGTTTTTGGTAGATTCATGTTTAACATAAGAGATCTTGCCACTTCTAACAAATGCCTATTTTTCCTTTTCAGCAACCACGTTTTGTGCACTAGTATAGGGACACCTAGGTTGATGGATTATCTCATTGAACTCCAGATAAGCACCAAATCCTTAATCAAGTACTCTATGCCATAATCAGTTCGCAAGATTTTTATCTTAGCCACTAATTAAGTACAAATCATCTTATGAAAGGACTTAAAGCACGAAAAAACCTCAAATTTGGCCTCTAACAAATATACACCTAATTCATCCTAGTGCAACAGTCAATTTAAGTAACAAACCATCAAGTACCAGACAAAGAAATTGTTTGAGTAGGACTTTATACATCATGTATAGTCGCAAAAGGAGTTGTACTTTTATTATCACTCAAAGGATAAGAGTTTCTAGTAATACCATGTAGTTTTAAGTATGTGTCCTTTGTATGTTTTGGCTTTCCGCAATAATCATAGTGAAGGTGGTCATTATTGGAATTGGATGCCCTTGGTTGCTCATGAGACAGTTAGCCCAGACTTCTCGGTTGGTGCTGAGTACAGCATGAACCCTCGTTGACTCTCTTATATATGCTTCCCAATACTAATCCAAGGAAGGAAAACTTTCAAAAAAATCAAATAAGGATTCCCAGCATTTCAGTGCTCTGGTATGCAGGAAAACTTAGATCCGATATTTTGAAAATAGTGGGACCTGGATGGGTAGGCTTGGAATAGGCCAGCAACCACCAGAGGAAAGATCTCCCTGAGTAAGTCGTTGGACAAGGTCCTACTCTCTGGTGCGTGTTATTGACACGTTGTGATTGGCAGTGTTGTCAATAGCGGGTGTAGTGTTTTTTAGCAGAGATTCTTGCTGGGTTTTGGTCGTCGGTGCAAGGGGAAGCTTGTGGTGGTGTTGGTTTTTGGACACCACTGTCAGAAAGCAACTCCGACATGCACAACCTTTGGAAACAAAGTGGAGCAGTAAAAGAGAGAAAAACTCAAACCTCTTCGAACCCTAGTGTTGTGAGGGAGAAAACTCACCTAAAAAAGACAACAATGGCTCTAATACCATGTAGATTTCGAGAATTAGAAAGTTTTATTGTATTCCATTATATTTGTACAACATATGAGCTTGAGTATTTGTAAATTAGTCCTATCTCTAATTTAGGGATGATAATTAATCAAATAAAATAGTATCTATAATTAAGCTAGGGGATAAAATCTTCTTGAATCAAGCTTATTGAATTATCAACAAAAAAGGATATACTTTGACTGGTAATATTGAGTTCATATATGCCTTAGTATTCAACTGTAAGATTCTATATCCTGTGTTGTGATTTGATCATGTTAGATCTTGTTTCATGATTAGCTCTATACTTGCAATATGCCAAGACTGATTTCTCTTGTTCATTGCATTTAGTTGCTATTCTTTTCGGGTGCAGGGGAGCTGTACTTTGTAACTGACAGGAAAAGTGGGTTTTGGAATATCTACAAATGGGTAAGTCCTCATCCGTGTGATGTCATAGTGTCATACTGATTAAATCTCTGCCATCTGTTGTATAATCTTTTATCGTGCCTAATGTCTAAACTTGAACTTCTTATGTCTATCTTCTGTCTAGCCTACTGGCTTAACTTGAACTTCTCTTCTAGGGTATGATTGCATATAGTTGCTTAAAAGTTTTCTTAATAACCATCTCATCTTCTTTGAGTTCTAGCCTAAACTTGCGTTCTTTTGCTCTTTACGAATTTGACCCTTGTGTTTTTGACTTGCTTAAGACTTAAAGTTGTGGATACTTGGTAGATGTTGCATTAGCTTAAATTCTATTGCATTACAAATATGGGGAACCTTCAGTCTGGCCCTTTATTAACCACATTCTTGTTATAGAAGATGTGAAGTTGCATTAATAAGAAATGAAGTGGTTAAAACTCTGATATTTTGGAGTCGAGGCTTTAAATTTCAATTCGCTAGATACTGCAATTATAAGAATATGAAAAAAATTATTGCTATAGTGGCCTCCAACTCTAACTTAGTCGTATTATTTAGTGTTTAACAGACACTACCTTATTAAGCGTTTGACCATTTATTTCAAATATTTTTCACTTTATTTGGAATTTATCAAGTGAAATTGAAGATGGATTTGGTTGTACTTTTTGCAAAGAAGGGAAGAGAACATTTTGTTTGGAATTTATAGAGATGGAGTTGGAACTTGGAATATAGGTTTGGAGCACTTTTCCTAATTTAGAATCCAGCTCCAAGTTGGATTTGGAAATTTTATAACTTAACACTGATTTTGAAATAAAGTGAAAAAGTATTCCAGAATAAATGTGAATAATTCTCATGGCCAAACAACTCCTATGCACATAAGCATTACACTTTCAGTCCTCCGCTGAAACACTATTTGGATGGAAAATGCAAAACATTTAACTTTTACATGAACTTTTGCATAATAAAAGAGAGAATTTACCTTACCCTTCCCACGCTAACCATAATCCAACTTTATGGATACTATATGCCAAAAAGCTAATCTGAAGTTCTGCCACGGCCCCTTCCCCTGACCCAGTAATGAGGTACAGAGGGAAAGTGAAAAAGAAAAACAAGCTTTTGTGCTTATTTCAGTTTCTGCACAAGCAGACTTCCATTTTTCGTGTTATTTATGGTGCTGGATATTGGGCCTGGAATATGCATCAAAGATTCAGCATCTATGTGGAAAAATAATGAAATATCTACCAGTAACACATCCTTGTTATTGTTGCTGGCACTGAACTCATACATTAAGTGAGACAGTGTAAACTTGATTGGCCTGTTTTATTTATTGTTGACAGGTAGAGTCTTCTAACGAGGTGCTACCAGTTTACTCCCTCGATGCTGAGTTTACAAGACCCTTATGGGTATTTGGGATGAAGTCTTATGACTTTCTTAAGAACCACGACCAAGATACTTTAATTGCCTGCAGTTACAGGTCAAGCTGATAAGTAGTTTGCTATTTAATATTTTTGTGTGTATCATGATATTTGAAATCATAGTGCTTTTATTCTGATTGTTTTGGTAACAAAGAAGTTCTTTATCTGGTTTCTCACTTTCCTCTTCCTCTCGCTCAGGGGAAGGGAATCATTCTGGGAGGAAAATTGATGTAGTTCATCTAATCTAAATTGAAAAATATGTGCAGGGAGAATGGGAAGTCATATCTTGGAGTTTTGGATGTTAACCTAGGCAAAATATCAGTGCTTGATATTCCTTTCACAGATATAAACAACATAGTAAGTTCTTGGTAGCACAAGCTGTACTTAAGAACCCGTTTGGGTTGGCTGAAAAAAGCAGCTTTCAAAAATTAACTTTTTAAAGTCAAACTTAAATGACTTTTAAGTCAAAATAAAAAGTAGATAAACTCCTACTTTTGGTTTTTAACTTTTTTAAAGTAATTTTTAACTTATTTTTAGTTATTTTTAACTTTGTCAAACACTCTCAAAAGCTAAAAATGAAAAGTAGATTTGACCAACTTTTAAGCCAATCCAAACAGGCTCTTAGTGTCCTTTATGAGTTTTTATCATTGTGCTGGTCTTGATAAATACCTTATCACCTAAACAGACTTCTGGGGTTCATAGCTTGTATGTTGAAGGAGCATCTTCTGTTCATCCATCGTCAATAGCTAAGGTTCTTTAGACAAACTTTCTAGTTGCTTGAAATTTTGAAAACAGTACTTATAAAACTATTCTAGATCATTCTTTTAGCATTTTTTCTGTTATTTCTGCAGGTTACTTTGGATGATCAGAGAACAAAAGTAATTGATTTCAAGATTATGTGGTCGTCGTCATCTGTTAGTGAGATGTATAACTCCTATTACAGTCGGCCAGAGTTGATAAAGTTCCCAACAGATGTGCCCGGTCAATGTGCATATGCATACTTTTATCCACCAACAAACACCGACTTTCAAGCTAGTCATGGAGAAACACCTCCATTGCTCTTGCGAAGTCATGGTTATTGCTTCCTTCATTAGAACTGCTTCTTCCTGTCTTATTTTCTTAGTTAAAACGCTGGACTAATTGGTTTCTGTATGAGATGTTAATGTATAGTTTATGATGATCCAGGAGGTCCTACAGCTGAAGCACGGGGATGTTTAAATCTTAGCATTCAATATTGGACCAGTCGTGGTTGGGCCTATGTGGATGTGAATTATGGTGGAAGCACTGGTACACACATGGCCTTTTTATTCCTTCCATTGTTGGCTTGTTATTCTTTCTATATTGTTTCTTGATTAGGGGACTATTTTGAGAGTTTTAAGTTTTTTGAGGGAACATCATTTCCTGCATTTATTGACTGATTGTCAGAACCTTTGATATTTATAAAAAGGAAATGTACGAAATTACTTTATATTGGTAGAAAAAGCAGAGGCGACCAAGGAATCAAGATGGCGTATGGCACATTGGTAGATTAGTTAGCTGCTGTTAAGTTTGTTAACATCATTTTGTTTTTGGCTCATATGAAGGTTATGGCAGAGAATATAGAGAAAGGCTATTGGGAAGTTGGGGAATTGTGGATGTTAACGACTGCTGCAATTGTGCCAAATTTTTGGTAACATCAAAAAATTGAGTTCACTCATATATTCCTTTAATGCTGCTAATAATTTTGTAAGTCATGGTAAATTAGTCTGTTCATCCAGGTTGACAGTGGAAGGGTTGACGGTGAAAGACTTTGTATTACAGGGAGTTCAGCTGGTGGTTATACAACATTAGCTGCACTCGCATTTAAAGATGTTTTCAAGGCTGGAGCTTCCTTGTATGGTGTGAGTGAATCATGAAATTTGTTTGTGATAAGTAATATCGCATTTCCATATCCTACCTGATCTCGCGTGTGCAACCAGAAACTGATCATAAAAATATGGAAAATACACCCAAGGGTGTGACCTTGTGGTCAATGAAGTGGGTTGAGCACCATGAGGTCTCAGGTTCTAGTTTTGACAAAAACACTGGTTGATTTCTTTCCATTTGTTATAGAATTGGTGGACATAGTGATATGGTACCTGTTGTTGGTGGGAGGTGGCAGGTATCCCCTAGAATTAGTCGAGGTGCGCACAAGCTAGGCCAGGCACCACGGTCATCAAAAAAATAATATATGATAGAAAATTTTGTAGTTAAGGCTGGTGCCTATATATATGGGCATAATGTTATCTTAGATGATCATCTTTAATGTAGAACAGCATCAGTTTGGTTCATAAGTTTACTCAAAGCGTCTTATGTATCATTTATCAACCAATTTTTAGTTTCAATGCTTTATGCCATCATCTTTCATTGAACAGATTGGTGATCTGCAATTGCTGAGAGCAGAAACTCACAAGTTCGAATCTCACTATACTGACAATCTAGTTGGTAATTATCTAATCAATTAACGTTAACAATCTATTTGCTTTAAGTCTTTCTGCTGATTGATGTTTATCAGTATGTGTTGAGGCCTTTTGAATAATTGCAGGGGACGAGAAGGCATATTTTGAGAGGTCGCCTATCAATTTTGTAGACCACTTTTCCTGCCCCATTATTTTATTTCAAGGATTGGAGGACAAGGCAAGCACAACATGTCCCTTTTAATGTCATAATCTTCGGGTATTTTACATATGGTTATATAACTATTTCTTGTTTTCACAAAAGTCACTTAACTATCTTTTCTAACACAAGTCATTAAACTTAAGATACTAACTAAAAAGTCACATAGCCCGAAAATGCTAAACTTTCCAATGCGAACTCCTTTTTACTTTTAAAAAAAAAAAATACAAATTGAAATTCAGTTAAAGCTTTGACCTGACTTGACCCAAAATCCAAAAATCAAACCCATATGAAGAAAGTAAAATATCAAAAGAACTAGTAAAATTACGTGCGCCTCGCGCCGGAATTTAATATCACAGAATTTATAAACTAATACTTAAAACCTATCAGTCATTAAAACTAAAACACTATATTATCTTACATACAAGATTACGTAGTAACGGACATTAATAATGTAAAGAAAAATGATAATTATAATATCTTATCATTTATTCTTCAATCAATCATCTTTAATTTGATTTTATAATTTATCCTTTTGCTTCCAGGAACTGTTACTATTTGATATTTTTGGGGTATCAAATGAACATCAACCTAAGATATTAAATTTTCTAATAAATAAATAATCATTGGTGAAGGGATAAATAGATTTTAAAAGGCTGAAAAAGTGAACAAATATTCTAATTCTAACGTGTAGAAAGTTCAGCCCTACCTTTTGCTTTACATATATCATTTTAAAGTTTCCCATTTAAATGTATCATAAGTAATTATTAAAATGGAAAATGAAAGGGAGAATGTATCATATTGGACAACAATTCAACTTATTATATATACTTGAAAGGGAAAAATATTACACAAAACTATTCAGTTTGTTTGGGTGTTTTTTAAAAATCAACATACAAGAGTGATGAAGTTCAATTTGAAACTACACTTCTATTCCAATCGCAGTGTCGAGAAACACATTTATTACTTCAAGAAAAGTATTTACAATTTGCAGTAAACTTGAGAATCTGTCCATACTTCATATTGAATATGAGCAATTAGTTTATTGTGTATCTATGTATTTGGAATTAAAAGAGGCTCCAGTCTAGTCATATTCCTCTATAGGTCATCTGGCATATCTTTGAACCCATGTCAAAAGTTTATTAATTCTTGTTTTCTTTTCCTGGTTCACTTCGCACATCAAGGTGCGATAAAGTTTTTAAGGTCTTTATGTCCTTACAATGGCATACCAAATTTGAATTTTGTCTTCAAGAGATGGTAGTATAGATCTTTAAGGATTTTTTTTGTACCTTCAACAATTTCAGTAGAGAAAACTTGCAAGAATACTCAATTAACGTGTGTTATTTAATCTGTACTAACAAATACTTATAACAATAACTTTGCATAAACATAACAACAAAGTTTGAAACATGTCTCAAAAACAACAATTAATATCATAAGCATAAATTAATGACGGTAAAAAAACATACCATGATCTGTAACAATAGAATGAAATAGTAAGGAAAAAATTGAGCCCACTAAATGCACAATGTCCCCTTAAGGAAATTATTCTCCTCTAGTACCCGAGGTTTAAAAGAATAGATCCTCTCAGGATGGAGCAATTCTATTCACCAGTGTATTAATACTAAAACAGTTGTGTCAGTGAGCCACTCAACAGGAGCAAAGTACACGAAGAAGAAAAAGTTCAAAAATCTCTCTATTTATAGACAACAATGAGTAGTGTCAACAAATGCTTATTGTGCCTTATCGGAAAGGTCACAACTCTTTGGAAAAGTTACAACCCTTCGGAAAGGTCACAACCTTTAATAAAAGTCACAACTTTTCATGAAAGGGGAAGGCTAGTTTTGGAAATAAATAAATTAAAAGGAAATCCTGGTTTGTGGTGGCGCCACGTAGGCGGGCCTAGGGTTTTGTTTTTTATATATATGTATATATGATAATATGATATGACGGTCCTTATCCTCATTTTTGCATTCGTCCATAAATCTCTTAAACAACGCTCATTACTCGCTCTTGTTCCATTCCAAATTTAGTCTTTCAAAGTCTTGGCTTTATGTTTTTGTCTGAAATTTTGATACTTGTCTAACACAATTCTTATGATCATCATTAGGGTACATATCCTTCACAACTTCGATCAACCCCCCTCAAATTTTTTTGGTTCTATTCTTTTGATATTTACTTTCTTCATATGAGTTTGGATTTTGGGTCCATTTTATTTATTAGATTTTTATAAAAGAGTTAGCATTGGAAAGTTTTGCATTTTCCGGCTTTGTGACTTTTTAGTTAGTATCAAAAAGTATGATGATTTTTGTGTTGGAAAAAATAGTTAAGTGACTTTTGTAAAAACAAGTGATAGTTATGTGACCATATGTGAGTTTACCTCATAATCTCGTGCACATGTCATTCTTTTATAGAAGAATTGCCTACATTGATCTTTTCCCTCAACTCTCTTCCCCATAAATATTTGACAACCTCATTTAGTCTTTGGCAAGCTCAGTCTTTCATATTTCCTCTTTCTTTGGATATATTTTTGTATTGGCATAATACATAATCGTGTCCTTTAACTTGGCCTCAGTTGGCATCTATGCCCTCAAACTTTGGGTGTGCACAAGTAAACACTTAAACTTGTATAAAGTTGAACACGTAGACACACACGTCTTACATGGTAATTTGCGTGAGATACACTCGAGCTGATTTATAGTATGCCACGTAAGGCACGTGTGTCTATTTGTTCAACTTTATACACGTCTAAATGCCTACTTGTGCACACCAAAGTTGGAGGGCATAGGTGCCAGATGAGGCCCAGTTAAATGGCCTTTTGTATTTTATGCAATAGGTTGATCTGCTGAACTTGTCAGAAATAGTAAGTTCTTAAACCTTCTATTCATGTTCATCCTGTGACTAAGTACCATCTTTCTGGAAAATTGTTTTGATGCAAATACATTCAATTGATAAATGCAGCTTGCACCGAAGTGCATGGTCTTTTTCCTTGCTCATCATAAGTGTTGGATATTTAGCTAGTATAACTTTTGGATCTTTAAAACAGTTCAAGTCAATTTCATATGGTTTGTTATGGCCTCTACCTTAAACAACATGATAATGGAAATGGGAGAAATGAAGCAATCTACCTCTGTTTTTAATTGTTGTTGCTTGTTGGTAGAATTGAGCTTTCCATCCCTTTTTACAGGTAGTTTCACCTGATCAATCACGCAAAATCTACCAAGCGTTGAAGGAAAAAGGGTTGCCTGTTGCACTCGTTGAATATGAAGGAGAGCAGCATGGTTTCCGTAAGGTATGTATTCCAGACTTTGAGGATAACTTATAACCTGTCAGCCTTGGAGGAAATTAGCTGATTTTTTTTTTGGCCATATGCAGGCTGAAAACATTAAATTCACCCTTGAACAACAGATGGTGTTCTTTGCGCGTTTGGTGGGACATTTTGAAGTGGCTGATGAAGTTACCCCCGTCAAAATTGATAATTTTGACTGAGGTATACAACCACCGGATGCTCTTCGTCATGATAGAGTTGTTCAATACTTGTTTGCCATAAGTAGGAAAGTTTTGATGATAGGAGAGAAAGAAGCAACAAGATGACCTAATTTTCTGGAGGGGTAAATAGGCAATGCTTCTGGGGAATATGTGGAGAAACATATTGTTATAATATCATCAAGATTTAATGATCAGAGAAAGAACATAGAGTTCATGGAACACATGGAGTTTGTTCTTGGAAGTGTATTACAGATTGCTAAATCAGGAAAATAAGCCTTAAGGGAGAGGAATTTGGAACTCTCTCCCTTGGGTTGTGCAATGCCGGATGTATTTTCTCTCTGCTGAGTAATTCTGCTTCTCTTTAGGCTCTGATACCATGTGAAAATGAAGACGAAAGATAAATCTCATTAAATTAGTTAAGAAGATATAATACTAGAAACCTCCTTTTTTAAAACTTTAAACTGGAGAAAGTGTGGACAAGTTTCTTAATGATCGAGTTCTTCTAATAGCTTGAGTACCTTAAGAAATTTTTGAAAAAAAAGAAAGAAGTGATACCAGTTAGTCTAAAGCCTTGAGAAAGAAACTGTAGTTTCTACATCTCTAGATTTGTAATGCGGTTGCACTTGAGGCTCACCAACCTTTAGTCATTAGTCCATGACCAACTCCTAGAAATGTTCATTTATAAAATATCTAATTGATATCTTATAGCTTATTTAGTTGTAACTTTTTATTAATATAAAATAATTAGAAATAGTTGCTTTTGGTTCAGTGATGAAGGTAGTACTAGTAGTACAAAATGGGTCTGTGATATTTGCGCACATAAAAAATACACAAATTATAAATGAGACATAACTTTAGATAAATGAGTTGAAAAGCTATGTCCTGGTGCATATGCATTTACAATAAAAAGAAGAGATCAGGGGTCGGCAAGGGCAAAACTACGACAAACCCAATAACTTTTGCGTATTGTTTTAAAAGGCGGGGCGTGAGGCAGTGCGTTTTACTTAGTATAGGGTGAAGCGTAAGCCTCGAGACGTGGGGCGTAAGTCTTATGGATCTTTAAAATTTTTATTTATAATATTATAATAACACAATTACAAAAATATATCAATAGTTTGAAATAATTATAAACATGACTAAAATAACTTAGAGAAAAAATAAAACTTCTAACATGATTATTCAAGTATAATTAATCTAATATCTTAACTTTCTAATAATAAAAGAAACATTATTTCTAAAAAATAATCAATAAAACTTACTAGTATTATAAGAAAAACATCGAATAAAAATAAAATTACTTTCAAATAGTTAAATAAAATATGATAATTTTGAGACATATGACAAAACCATAAAGACCTGTGATAAGTGAAAAAATAAAATTTCGCTACGATTTTTGAAAGAAATATTATGTAATATATAATCATTGTCATAGTGTTAATAGTAAAAATGCGATACTACAACTTGTTATTTGAGTTACACTCAATATTCTTATCTCTATAGATTTAAAAATTATTAAGTATCATTCATTTATTCAAGAATTATTAGGGTCAATAAAGTTAACTAAAGATTTTAACCCATAATTTATGTAAGATCTGTTGTGCGAGCCCCGAGCGTTGGGCGTTGGGCTTGCTTGGGGCGTACAGTTGGGTGCCTAGAGAGTAAGTCTTATAGAACTAAGCCCCACACTTGAGTCTCGGGGCGTTTTACTAGAGCCCCACCCTAGGGCGTGCCCAGGGCCGAGTCCTAACAGAGTCTTTTAAAACACTGAATCATATATTTGTATTATCAATAAATATAAATAATAGTGTATATTATTGGCATGTTTGAATGCGATGTTAGTATTTTATAAATTCACATTATGCTCTTCACTGTTACCCGAAGCTTATCGATCATTTGTATTTAACATAGCTAAACTAATATTTGAAGTATTTACAAAACTAATATTTGAACTTTGAAGTGTTTACAACTTCATAAGAGAGCTTTGAAAATCTACCACTGTTAATTCATCATAGTATCTTAGAGTTTTTCACTTTTATTCATCTTTGTATTCAAAAGATGGCATATCTAACTTGTATTTTTTTTGGCATATCTAACTTGTAATTCATATCACTTGTTGGGGTATTTTACTCTTTTATGTATTTTATTGTTTTCCATTTTGGGTATGTTCATGATGTATGGTTTGCAGTGTCATCGTGACTTAATGAAATTTGAATCCTCCAATTATACACTCACGTAATACCTTTTCTTTCTTCTTCCACCAACCCCTCTACTAAGATCAACAAAGCACTTAACACAAGCTGACTTATTTTATATGACAATAAAATGATAAAAAAGAAATAAACTATCTATATCTATATTTATGTATCTATTAAAAACATGAACTCCCTAACTTGAATGTTAAATTACTATAATATCACTATTAAAAAACTGCCAAAAAGCAACGGACAAAAAAGCGACGGACGGCGTTGCTCCAAAAAGCGACGCCAATTGCCACACCGTCCGTCTCTTTTAAATAAAAAAAGTTATTTTTAAAATTATTTTACAAAAAGCGACGGACGGCATCTCTTAGTCCGTCACTTTTTTTCGCGAATTTTTGCGCCAAATATATATATAATCAATAATTAATTATTTTATATAGGTAGCGACGCAGTCCATCGCTTTTTATTTAAAAGAATTATTTATAAATTAAAAACTAACTACGCCGTCCGTTGCTTTTAATTAATTTTAATTGATTAATTATTTTTTTAAAAGAGCAACGGACGGCATCTCTAAGTCCGTCGCTCTTTGGTCAAAATGACTAGTCAAAAGCGACGGACAGCGTCTCTTAGTCCATCACTTTTTGGTCAAATATTTTTAAAAAAGCGACGGACAAGGAGACGCTGTCTGTCGCTTTTTTTAAATTATGTTGAACCAAAAAGCAGGTTTTCCCTCCATTTTCTCATCTCTCTTTCTCTCTCTTCTCTCCCTTCTCTCTAAAATCAAACTGTTGTGCCGCCGCCGCCACCCCACGCCGTCATCGCCCTTCTCTCCTTGAGCATTAGTCCCGTCGGCACCTTGCCCCGTCGGCGCCGCCACCCCGTCGGCGCCGCCACCCCGTCGGCGCCGCCACCTGTCGGCCCCACTGCCTCTTTTCCTTAGCTTGTTAAGGTTAGGGTTTAATTTTAGTTTTTTTCAATTCTAGTAATATTTGATTTTTTATGGTATATTGTTTTAGTTTGATGAATTATGTTATTCAATTGTTAATTTGTATATTTGATTATTGTTAGTTAGGGAGATGATTGGAGATTTTTGATTTTAGGGTTTTCTTCTAAATTGGGATTTTTTAAAATATGATTGTGAATTGATTATTAGAAGTTAGAACTAACAAATAATTAGAAGTTCGAAGTTATAAAGTTAGCATTTAGATTAGTTGCATTTTCCAACTTTGAAATTCTTGAATTTAGTCTGTTTGATGGTTGAAGTTAGAAAAACATTGAATTGTATATGAAAGTTAGATTACTTTGAAGTTTGAAAATATTGGATAGTATATGAAAGTTGAAATTAGATTAGTTGAATTTTCCAACTTAGAAGTTCTTGAATTTAGTAAGTTTGAAAGTTGAAGTTAGAAAAATTGGGGATTTTAAGATATGATTGCAAATTAAGTATTAGAAGTTAGAACTAACAAATAATTAGAAGCTAGAAGTTAGAGATTAGTTGAATTTTTCAATTTGCTATTGTATTTGTGCTTATATGTATTATATTGTTGTTGAAAATTGGGTTACTTGAATTATATTCTTGAACTTAGAAATTCTTGAACTTGGAAATTCTTCAACTTAGAAATTCTAGAAATTAGATAAGTCATATGAACTTGAATTTATATAGGATTTTAGAACTTTAAGTTGTGAACCTTAGAGAACATGATTTTTGTAGAATTTTAGAACTTTAGGTTGTGAAACGTTAGAAATCTTGAATTATTCTAGAATTTTAGAACTTTAGGTTGTGAAACGTTAGAAATCTTGAATTATTCTAGAATTTTAGAACTTTAAGTTGTGACTTTTAGAGAACTTGAAATTTGTAGGATTTTAGAACTTTAAGTTGTGACTTTTAGAGAACTTGAATTTTTGTAGGATTTTAGAACTTTAAATTGTGAACTTTAGAGAACTTGATTTTTTGTAGGATTTTAGAACTTTAGGTTGTGAACTTTAGAGAACTTGAATTTTTGTAGGGTTAGAACTTTAGGTTGTGAACTTTAGAAATCTTGAATTATTGTAGGATTTTAGAACTTTAGGTTGTGAACTTTAGAAATCTTGAATTATTGTGGGATTTTAGAACTTTAAGTTGTGAACTTTAGAAATCTTGAATTATTGTAGGATTTTAAACTTTAGGTTGTGAACTTTAGAAATCTTGATTCATAGATTTTATGAACTAATTAATACGTTGAACTTTAGAAATCTTGATAAAATATAGTCTTTATGAACTATTTGTAATTTTGAAACGACTTTTGTGTAATTTTAAAACAAATTTTGAAAGACTTTATAAGTCTTTAAATTGTGATTTAGATATTTTTGAATGTTAATTTTAGTTTGTTGTTTTATATTTTGTGTAGCTTCTTTATAATGTTTTGTGTTTGATTGAGGCTGAATTGAATTTGCAGGTGGGCAGTAGAAATGACAGTTTCTGCTGTCAAAAAAATTACAGAAAAAGCGACGGAATCCAGAAAAGCGACGGACAGAGTCCTTTAGTCCGTCACTTTTTTTAAAACCCAGAAAAGCGACGGACAGGGTCCTTTAGTTCGTCGCTTTTCTGGATTTTTCAAATTTTATTTCCAAAAAGCGACGGACGACGTCTCATTGTCTGTCACTTTTCAAGATTCTAAAAAAATTAAAAATTAATTAAAGTGACGGACTTCGTCTCTTTTTTAAAATAAAAAAAATAAAAAAAGCGACGGACAGCGTCACATTCTTCAAAAAAATATGTTTTTTAAAAAATAAAAGCGACGCAGTCCGTCGCTTTTTTTCGTCTCTCTTTGACAGTTTTTTAGTAGTGTACCCCTACTTAAAACACCCATCTATATCTATTTGAATAGCATAAGTTTTCTTGAAAGGTTGTAACTTTTTCGATGAGTTGTGACGTTTTCGAAGGGTTGTGACTTTTTCAAAGGGTTGTGACTTTTCTGATGAGTTGTGACGTTTTCGATAAGTTGTGACTTTTACAAAAGATTGTGACTTTTTAGATGAGTTGTGACTTTTTCAAAGGATACATTTCCGAAGGGTCATGACTTTTTAGATAAGGCACAATAAGTGCATGTTCATACAACCCATTTGTTGA